CCTTTTCTTCTATATTGTTCCTTACCCTTCCTTTTCTTCTATGTCTTTTTCATTGATCTTATATCTGCCGTAGTTTCTGGGGAGGCATTCTATCTGCTGTTTTCCCCACTGTAGCCAGATGTTTCTGACCCGCAGGGATCCTGGAGTGCCCTTCTCTCTTTTCCGATCTTATCCTCTTCCCTTTTCCCTTCTTTGTGTAGCGGTGCGGGGAGTCAAGGTGCGCAGTTCCTGGCGCCTCCCGGGAACCGCGCGGCCTCGGACTGCTCGCCTTGGCTCCCCGCACCGCTACACAACGGGGTAGCACAACGGGGCCCTACAACGGGGAGCTTCAACGGGAAGACGAAAAGCGAAAAATAAACAACAAAAACAAACTTAAGCCCTTATCAAGCCCTTATTATTCAGACCTTCTAACTGTTGCAGTATCCACTGGGATGTTTCAAAAACAAAAAAGAAAAGCAAAACCCAATCCAACCCTAAATTAGAAAAAAAGAAGAGAAAAAAACAAAAAAAAGGCAAAACATAAGCACAAAAAATCTTTTAAAATTTCATTCCAATACCTTTAAAATGATCGACTCATTGCTTTAAACCTGATGGTGGACATAATTTATGGATAGCAACGCCACAGCTTCACTGCTCAGAACAGCTTCGAGGAGCTCATGTTGCCACGGCTTGAGCTCCTTGACTTCCTCGACTCGCTGCACTCGGATCACAGCTGAGCTCAGGCTCGGGGAGCTGGGAAGGCACAACGAGAAAACGACGACAAGAAAATGATGCAAAATGAAAAATGTCACGTTTATGGCAGGTACACAAAAAACACGGCTTTTGTAACATATTGAAATGTTAAAATTGTGCATATGTGCTGAATACTTTGTTTTTTTTTAAAAACTTGGCTTCTATCAATCAATTATGTCCACAACCGGTTTTAAAACACTCAATGGTCCATTTTCAAGGTATTCGAATGAAATGTTAAAAGATTTTTTTAAAATATTTTTTTGTTCGAAATATGTTTGTCAAAATATGTGGAAATATGAAATTTCCATCCATCAATTATGTCATGACCGGTTTTAAAACACTCAGTGGATCATTTTCAATGTATTGGAATGAGATTTAAAAAGTTTTTTTTCAAATATTTTTTTGGTCAAAATATGTTGAAAAATGAAATTCTGTCCATAAATTCTGTCTAACAAGATATCCAAAACACATTCCAGAAATATCCCAAAGGCCGGTCCAAGGCCATGGAGTCGAAAGACGAGCTCTGGGAGCTCTGGGCCATGGGGATGGGGTAAACGGGGAAGGCCACAACGGGGAAACAGAACGGGAGGGAAACAACGGGAAAATGAGAAATGTCACGCTCATGGTGGGTAAATGGAAAAAGTACCAGTCCAATATATTAAAATGCTTAAACTGTCTGTGTGCTCAATATGTTTTGAAGGTGGCAAAGTTATATGTCAGGAAAGATGTCAGAAAAGGGATTTTGTTTTAAATCTGCTGAGTTGAATGTGTAGAAAACAAATTAGATAGAAATAAGCTTGCATTAAGGAAACCCAAGGCTTGAATTTATCACAAAGAGGATCTAGGACATCAACACAGGGAATCTGAAACATTTTGCGTATAAATGAAATTGCGCATCGTCCTTAACCCTGATCCAAAAACCTCACATGTCTTGGGTCCCAAAAACGGCCTTTGTTTCGAGCTGCTCCGGCACATCGTCTTTGTTTCAGCAGTTAGAATGCTTCCCCCTCGACACCGGCTTTTTACCAGCATTCCAGCAGTTAGAATGCTTCCCCCTTGAAGTTGCTTATTCTCAGCATTTCAGCAGTTACAATGCTTCCCCCTTGAAATTGCTTTTTACCAGCATTTCAGCAGTTTGAACGCTTCCCCCTTGAAATTGTTTTTTACCAGCATTTTAGCAATTGGAACTCTTTCCCCTGCAAACTGTGCTTTTCCAGCGTTTCAGCAGTTTGAATGCTTCCCCCTTGAAGTGTTTTTTTGTTTAACCAGCATTTCAGCAGTTAGAATGCTTCCCCCTTGAAATTGCTTTTGCCAGAATTTCAGCAATTAAAATGTTTTCTTGAAATTACTTTTTACCATTATTTAAGAAATTGGGACGCTTCCCCCTTGAAATTGCTTCTTACCAGCATTTCATCAGTTAGAATGCTTCCCCCTTGACATTGTTTTTTACCAGCATTTCAGAGATTAGAACGCTTCCCCGTTGAAATTGCTTTTTGCCAGCACTTCAGCAGTTGGAATGCTTCCCCATTGAAGTTGCTTTTTACCAGCGTTTCAGCACTTAGAATGCTTCCCCTTCCAAGTTGTTTTTTTACCAGCCTTTCAGCAGTTAGAACGCTGCCGCCTTGAAATTGATTTTACCAGCATTTCAGCAATTAGAATGCTTCCCCCTTGAAGTTGCTTTTTACCAGCATTTCAGCAATTAGAATACTTCCCCCTTGAAGTTGCTTTTTACCTTCATTTCAGCAATTAGAATGCTTCCCCTTGACATTGCTTTTTACCAGCATTTCAGCATTTAGAATGCTCCCCCCTTGAAGTTGCTTTTTACACAAGCATTTCAGCAGTTAGAATGCAGAACGTGCAAGCTGCAAGATCGTACAGAGAGCACGGTGCACAACCGGTGACTCAACTAGGGGGGTTAAAAAAAATGCATGTTTTGACATCTGATGATATTCATAGTATGGAGGCATTCTAAGTGAGGGATTTGTGCAAAGGGTTCTCCGAAAACAACAAAAGACTTAAAACCCGGGTGGTATATTGCCGTGCGCGGGAGGCATTCTAACTGAATGATTTTTTGCCGTGCGCGGGAGGCATTCTAACTGAGGGGGGAGGAATATTTGGAATTTGTGGCGGCATTCTAACTTTCATTTTATAACGCTATATACGAACAAATGCCAACCCTATGAGACTCAGATCTTTTCAACCAATCCCTGATATCTTCCCCAGCGTTGTAGCCAATTCGATCCAAATGCCTTTGACATCCTTTGACCAGTCCTTTCAACGTTCAAAGTATTGTTGTAATCAATCGACACCCGGACTTTCAAATTAGATGACGCCTGACGCGGAACCACAGCAACCGGTGGATTGTCCCTCGTGAGATCCACAACAGGCTGGCTCGCCCGAGGACCAACCATTAATCCAACCTTTGACTGCGAGACCTTTGGAACTGGAGCAGCGGATGGACCTAGAACTACACTTGATGGCTTTGGCGGAGGTGGTGGCTGCAATGTAGCCAGCGACTTAGCTTGGGTGAGAACAATCACAGGACTAGAGGTCTTTGCGTTGGTGCTGGATGAGATACCGAGATACCCAACACAGGTGGAGTGGCAACCGAAGAACTACTCAACACGGGTGGAGGGTCAACCAAAGGACTACTCAACACGTGGAGGGGCAACCGAAGGACCCTTGGAACTAGAAGAAGCTGACCCAGAGGCAACAGCATCTTCCAAATCCTCCTCGATCACTACCTCTACCTCTTCGTCCGACAATTCCAAATGGATAAGTCCACGGCTAGGAAAATCTGGGAGCCCACTGTCGTCCGATTGAATCTCTTCAATGTTTTCAGGAGAAATTGGCGGTACTCCCTTAGATTCCAACCGCTCTTTTTACCGCCTTTCAAACAGCTCTTTCTGTTTGCGAGCCTTTTTGCCTCCCCTACGAGGTTTCCAATTGGGGTCAAACTTGTCCCTTGTGGGATGTTGAATATGATACCCAGAAGACCCTTGGTTACCCCTTTTCCCCATGCAACCTCCGAGGTTGCAGCCAAGAGACAAAGGACCAAGCCACAAGCAACCAGTGATCAAACAGCAAACGGATGATGAAGCGAAGCAGCAATGGCAAACAGCACGGGAGAGCCTACGGCTGATAACCTAACTTTGTAGGCTTCAAACGACAGCTAACTGCAGAGCAGCAACGCTCTTTTTTTTGCAGTGGCGGATCTTGAGCCAAACATCAGTTTTGGCTCAGTAAGTGCAATGACCTGAAAGTTGTGCTGGATAAAACGATTGAAGATTTTTTTGTTGAACTTTTTGGATTTTTCCTTTCAACTTGTTGTTTCTTTTTGGGACCTTTTTTGTTTGCTGTTCCTTCAAGGTTTGATTTTTTTGTGGATTTGTTGGATTGACTTTTTGTAAGTTTTTTATTTTTTGGATATTTTTTTTAGATTTTTTCGCGGATTTTTTGGAATTTTCAAAGATATTTTTTTGAAAGGATAGCAACTCTTAGGAGTAGCCCTGTTAGGAGTAGCCCAGGGCTCTTTAATGACTCTACTTTTTCGCGAACCTGGATCTTCTTTCTTCTGACTCTTTCTCGATTCCCTGATTTTCTTTCTTCTTCATTATCTTCATTTCTCTTCTCTGGCTCTTCCCACTTCCCACCTCTGATATTCCATCCGTCCATATTATTCGAAGTTTGCTTCTTAACTTCCTTCGCTTATGTAACTAAGTAATTGTAACTATATCCCGGTTGAAATCAGAGCCCGCTTCTTATCGCTATAAACCCCGGGCCCTTGCAATAAAGCCTACAGACTGAATGGGGGCAAGCAAACATTTCTCCATACAAAATGGCAGGTTTTGTTCAGCAACCAGCTTTTCAACTTTTGCTGCACCCGACATGCTGTAGGGAGGTATATTTTGCCCAGATTCCGGATTTCTATCTTATTCATGCAATTCTATTTTTTGATATAACGTGATACAACATGATACAACAAGAATCTATGCCTCTGAAAATCAAATGGCAAGAATCAGTTCTCAGGAGAAATCATGAGCCTGCAAGGAGAATCTAACACACCATGGCGGCACACAACATCGAATGAAAACAAATGTTCTTCCCCTTGACTCCGTTTGACAGGTTTCTACTGTGCGAAACTTGCGGGGCTCTGCCGAATTCTGTCACATCGTAATCAGTCAGCAATGTTCAGCGTTTGTTTACCAAATGTTGCGGCATTGTTGTTCTGCATTGTTGGGCCGTTTTTTTTTAAAAAAATCTTCAGCTCAGCCCCTTGGAGCCCCACCTTTGACCATTGTAGCCATTCTCAAAGCTGCTTCGACCAAGGGCACATCAGGACGTAGTGTCAAAGGTGAAATCAAGAAACTCGGTAGTCGCGCCTGAAAATGATTGGGGTTCATACTGACATCCCGTATGTGGTGACGGCAAATCACAGCGTCCCATGTCGAAACCAACCCCAAAGAGGCAAAAGTGAGCAATGTATAACAAAAACACACATGCGCTAGCTGAGCAATAATATTCAAGGGATTAATGATAATCCAACACAGTCTGACGGCTGACGTAATCATATACAATCTGTCCTCTCCACCATGAAGCCACTGGCTCACTGTACACGTGGAACTTACGCCGTCAATGAAGGCCAACCTCAGTGCAAAGTTTCTGACTAGGTGAGTGTCGGTTCTTTTCGACATCAGTACCACCAAGGTTTGAAGTAGAAAAACAAGAGCATTGAATCAAGTGATTGCAAAAGTTTGCCTTTGATGTGCTCAGGATCCTTTGCCGCTTGAAACCATCTGAGCCGCTCATGACATTTCAAGAGATGACGAGAGGCAGCATGTCATTCTCAGTGAGAACTCCAAGAACAGATTGCTCACTATCCAGTATAACCGCCGCTGTTCGCCCTGTAGACTGAAGCAGCTCGCTGGCTTCAAAAAGGGTGTGTTCAGGTGAGCATGTTGCGGTGGGCCTGTCTGCGGAGATACCCCCGACCTCAGTCCAGTTGCTGTCACAAAAGCTTCTTTGTTGCAGCGCGTCTGGCATTGTGCATAAATCCAGACAGGCAGCTAAAATGTCAAAGTTTTCGCCGTTGTGAAATATTTCGCTGCAGGTCATGGCAATTGACCTCCAGTAATTATATTCCTTCACTTGGGCGTGCCAACCAAGTGCAACCCTGAAACATCACTGCTGAATCATTCTCAATCTGTTGTCTATTATCTGTTTGCAACCGGCGTTTGAGCTTACAATCGTGTTCTTGCGATCCACAGAATTATTGTATATCATCATGGTAAAACACATACAAGTACGCACGCACACGTATGTACGGTGCAAATATATACAGTTACGTTATAATTATTACGTTTGCATTTGCATCACTTGGTGGCTGGTGGGCTATAGCAGTCACTGGTTTCAATCTGTTTGCAAGCCGTGGTTTTGAAACGCTGCAGAGACCATGGCCCAGCATGACATCTTAAAAATCAATCCGCATCAGGCGATATTTGGCTTGTAAGGGAGCAGGGCCGCAGAATGGACTGCTGCTATCCAACCGCCTCCATGCAAGTATTCCACGATATTTCAAGCAAGCAGGATCACATTTAGGTCCAGAGGGTGTTTACACCTGAACAGTTCATTCATTATTTTGAAAATGACAAAGTCTTCAAACTCCAGAAGTGCTGTTGGAGCACCGGCACGCCGACCGCGAAGTACTTTCAGCACTCTGCGCAGCGGCAAAACAGATCAAACCTAATCAAGATGAAGTGTTCATTTATGAGAGAGCACATGCAAGTACATGCACGTGTATATATATATATATGTATATATGTATATGCATTATATAATTAGGAAATAACATATATATAATGTTTGCACCCGATTAAAGAGATGGTACCCTATTGTGAGAAATTTCTTGCTCCTAATTCAGTCACATGCTAATTGCGGAGGGGGGCCTCTATTGTGAGATTTTTTTCCAGTTTTTTTTTTCAATTTTTATTTTTTCCAAATGCTTTAATTAACTTTATTTTTGAAATTATTTTTCTATTTATGTTTATTTTGAATTTTATTTTAGATGCCTTATCAAACCCTTATTAAAAAAAAACATCGAGACAATTTTTCAAAAGTACCTCATGAGTGGCTCTGTTACTCAATAACATAATTGTCTGGATGGTACTCTATTGTGAGCACCAACTTTTGGGAATGAAAAAAAAACAAAACCCTTTCTCCACCTTTCTTTGGGTAAAGCTGGCCCCTTTACTGTAGAAAGCCATATTTGTGTTAAAGCTTTTAAAATGCAAGGTTTTTCCAAATAATTAGATGCCTTATTAAACCCTTATTAAAAACAGCACCCAGACAATTTTTCAAGGGGATACCTCATGAGTGGCTCAGTTACTCAATAATATAACTGTTTGCATGGTACTCTATTGTGAGCACCAACTTTTGGGAGTGAAAAAAAAACAAAACCCTTTCTCCACCTTTCTTTGGGTAAAGCTGGTCCTTTCACTTTAGAAAGCCATATCCGTGTTAAAGCTTTTAAAATGCAAGGTTTTTCCAAATAATTAGATGCCTTATGAAACCCTTATTAAAAAACAGTACCCAGACAATTTTTCAAGGGGATACCTCATGAGTGGCTCCGTTGCTCAATAATATAATTGTTTGGATGGTACTCTATTGTGAGCACCAACTTTTGGGAGTGAAAAAAAAGCAAAACCCTTTCTCCACCTTTCTTTGGGTAAAGCTGGCCCCTTTACTGTAGAAAGCCATAGTTGTGTTAAAACTTTAAAATGCAAGGTTTTTCCAAATAATTAGATGCCTTATTAAACCCTTATTTAAAAACAGCATCCAGACAATTTTTCAAAGGGGTACCTCATGAGTGGCTCGGTTACTGAATAATATAATTGTTTGGATGGTACTCTATTGAGAGCACCAACTTTTTGGAGTGAAAAAAGAAACAAAACCATTTCTCCACCTTTCTTTGGGTAAAGCTGGTCCTTTCACTTTAGAAAGCCATATTTGTGTTAAAACTTTAAAATGCAAGGTTTTCCAAATAATTAGATGCCTTATTAAACCCTTATTAAAAAACAGCACCCAGACAATTTTTCAAAGGTGTACCTCATGAGTGGCTCAGTTACTGAATAATATAATTGTTTGGATGGTACTCTATTGTGAGCACCAACTTTTGGGAGTGAAAAAAAAAGCAAAACCCTTTCTCCACCTTTCTTTGGGTAAAGCTGGCCCCTTTACTGTAGAAAGCCATAGTTGTGTTAAAGCTTTAAAATGCAAGGTTTCCCAAATAATTAGATGCCTTATTAAACCCTTATTAAAAAACAGCACCCAGACAATTTTTCAAGGGGGTACCTCATGAGTGGCCCAGTTACTCAATAACATAATTGTCTGGATGGTACTCTATTGTGAGCAGCAACTTTTGGGAGTGAAAAAAAAGCAAAACCCTTTCTCCACCTTTCTTTGGGTAAAGCTGGCCCCTTTACTGTAGAAAGCCATAGTTGTGTTAAAACTTTAAAATGCAAGGTTTTTCCAAATAATTAGATGCCTTATTAAACCCTTATTTAAAAACAGCATCCAGACAATTTTTCAAAGGGGTACCTCATGAGTGGCTCGGTTACTGAATAATATAATTGTTTGGATGGTACTCTATTGTGAGCACCAACTTTTTGGAGTGAAAAAAGAAACAAAACCATTTCTTCACCTTTCTTTGGGTAAAGCTGGTCCTTTCACTTTAGAAAGCCATATTTGCGTTAAAGCTTTTAAAATGCGAGGTTTCCCAAGTAATTAGATGCCTTATTAAACCCTTATTAAAAAAACAGCATCCAAACAATTTTTCAAAGAGGTACCTCACGAGGAGTGAAAAAAAAAACGAAACCCTTTCTCCACCTTTCTTTGGGTAAAGCTGGCCCCTTTACTTTAGAAAGCCATATTTGTGTTAAAACTTTAAAATGCAAGGTTTTCCAAATAATTAGATGCCTTATTAAACCCTTATTAAAAAACAGCATCCAGACAATTTTTCAAAGGGGTACCTCCTGAGTGGCTCAGTTACTGAGTAATATAATTGTTTGGATGGTACTCTATTGTGAGCACCAACTTTTTGGAGTGAAAAAAAAAACGAAACCCTTTCTCCACCTTTCTTTGGGTAAAGCTGGTCCTTTCACTTTAGAAAGCCATAGTTGTGTTAAAACTTTAAAATGCAAGGTTTCCCAAATAATTAGATGCCTTATTAAACCCTTATTAAAAAGCAGCATCCAGACAATTTTTCAAGGGGGTACCTCATGAGTGGCTCAGTTACTCAATAATATAATTGTTTGGATGGTACTCTATTGTGAACACCAACTTTTTGGAGTGAAAAAAAATGAAAGTAAATTAAAAGTAAATTGAAATCAAGTGAAAGTAAATTGAATTCAATTGAATGTAAATTGAAAGTAAATTAAAAGTAAATTGAAATCAATTGAAATTAAATTAAAAGTATATAAATTGAAATCAATTGAAAGTAAATTGAAAGTAAATTGAAAATAAATTGAAATCAATTGAAAGTAAATTGAACGTAAATTAAAAGTAAATTGAAATCAATTGAAAGTAAATTGAAAGTGAATTAAAAGTAAGTTGAAATCAATTGAAAGTAAATTAAAAGTAAATTGAAATCAATTGAAGTAAATTGAAATCAATTGAAAGTAAATTGAAATCCTTTCTTAAGTTGATTGACCCAAAAAAAGTTGAGGGGGGGCAAAAAAAAGTGCGAGTTATAGAGTATCCTCAAATTGTTTGGGGGGGGGGGGCCCTCACACTAATCAGATGCAAACATTATATATATATATATCCGCCGACCCGGCCGACAGCAAGGGGGAGCGCGCACAGAGACTAGGAGTCACAAACGTTGACGACAACGACGACAACCACAACCACCACCACCACAACAGAACAGCAACAACAACAACAGCAACAACACCATGTTTGTCCTCCGGTGCCATGTTGTTTATGCGTGGCGAATGCGTGGCGAATGCGCGGCGGAGGTGCTCTTTTGGTGGCCACATCTCTTTTCAGTTGAGCCAGAATGTCCGTCCTTCACTGCTACGGTGTTTGAGTGTGGCGGAGGTGCTTTTTCAGTTGCCAAATCTAATGTCGTCAACGCCTTCAGTGATGTGGTAAGCCTGGCGGAGGTGCTTTTTCAGCTGCCAGATTCCTTTTCACTAGGGGTCCAGCACGTTCGGCGCCTTTCCGGGGCATGGTGCTTAAGCGTGGCGGGGGTGCAGTTGCTAACTCTCATGTCTTCAACAGTGATCTGGTAAGCCTGGCGGAGGCCCTTTTTCCGGCCAAATCTCTTTTCAATAGGGATCCACAAGGCATGTTAAGCACCTTTCGGGGCATGGTTCTCCACCATGTCCGTCCTTCACTGCCATTGTGTTTAAGCATGGCAGAGGTGCTTTTTCAGGTGCAAAATCTCTCTTGTCAAAAAAGGTCCATAAGGCATGCTAAGCACCTTTTTGAAGGCATGATTCTCCACCATGTGAAAATTTGAGGGGGTCTCGCACGAAATGCTCGTCTTGATGCTCCAACATGTCTCGTCTCGAGTCTCTAGTTTCCCTGTGGCCTCGCCGTGTCTATGGGGGAAGCTGTAACACCTCTCCTTTCTGAATGTTTCCAAGCAGGTTGTCATGTCGTTTTGCGTGGCAGGCATGGCTCTTTGTGACATTCCAACCTGCTTGATAACGTGCCGAAAGTCGTTTGGTGTGGCAGGCTCGGGCGCAGTACTTTTGCGTCGTTTCCACACGATGAGTTGCAATTCTCGTGGCAGGCGCGGCACTTTGGAGACTCCATCGTCATTTTGCGTGGCAGGTGCAGCACTTCAGACGTGTCGCATTGCGTGCTCTACACTCTACACTCCACACTCTACACTCCACACTCTACACTCCACACTTCACACTCCACACTCCACACTCCACACTCTACACTTTACACTCCACACTCCACACTTTACACTCCACACTCCTTACTTTACACTCCGCACTCCACACTCCACATTTTACACTCCAGACTCTACACTTTACACTTGAGAAGTGGCAAGAGGCCCGCGAAGCGCCTTTTCCATCCAACAGTTGCTCGCAGTGACAGGG